TAGGATGATTTAGTTGAGCGAGACCGACCAAGGATCATTTATTCCTCATGGTCGACAAGATATATTGGCGACGACCATAGGAAAACCAGATTACTCGGGACGTGTGCGTGGTGCTTGGTGGAACTCGGGGCCTTCGTGATTACTTTGGTCCAACATCACGAAGGACCACTGCTGACTCTTGCGGCCAGGAGGCCTTGCATAAAATGGAGATGCAGTTTGAAGAAAAGTTAAATCAAATAAGGCGAGTCCTTGCAGCAAGAGTTTGATGAGAAAATTGAATCTCTCGCCTGCTCTCGACCAATGAGACTCAAGGAACACCTCAAACAATTGAACATGATATTGTTCGAGTCAGCACTAAAGGGAGTTGTCTGCTGCTACTGCGTTGATCCTTCAGGAGAATATACTCGGATCGGTGCATCACACCGGTGTGAGTTATATGTTGAAGATGACCCCGCGTCTAGTGGTTGTTGGTCGAGTTTTTGAGGGTGGCTTAACCATCCATGGTGTCCCTCTACGACCAGACTGGACACGAGTAGTAGTTGATGAAGTTCATGATGCTAATGCTCCGAGTGCCTTTTCCTAATGAAGAGATTCAATTAGTGGGGCGAGGCAAGCGGGACATTCTTGGCTTGGCCAAGACGTTTGGTTATGCCACTATCGGCCTGATCAAGTAATACATATATATATATATATATATATATATATATATATATATATATATATATATATATATATACATATTGTCTATTTACTCTTTTCTAGTATTATAATTATATAAATGTTTAATTAATTGTTATCATTTGTTTAGGAGGACTTGCGTCGTGCAAAGCATAAAAAACAACCTATTATTGATGAGGATCTGACGGAATGTGATGATGATCTCATCTCTATGTTGTTAAGCAGTATTACCACGGTTGAGGGAGAGACTACGTCGGATACTAATGGGATGTTAGAGTGTTTAGAATTGACAATTTCAGGTGTTCCATTGTACATTTCCTTGCCAGATGCTTTAGAAATTCTTGGGAGAAATTGCATGTTAAACATTTCCATCATACAATTGTGGGCAATGTAAGTCATTTTCATTTATGTTTCTAAGATTATAATAATTATATTCAACTTATAATTAATTGTTTTAGGTACCTTGACAATTTGAGTGTGGAACAAGAAAAATCGAAGTGTACTGATTTATTGAGCCTCAATCCATCCAAAAATGCGGAAATACAAAGGTTGGAATCCAACAATATATGCAAACATGGATGAGTGACTCAAGAAGACATATATATTTGGCTCCATACATTGAAGGGTTAGTATTTTAATTTGTATTTTAATTTATATTTTTGTAACTAATTTTTATGTCATACAATGTAGGTCCCATTGGCGAGTTAATTGTAATCATGCCCGGGATTACACTTGTGGTGTGGTTTTGTTCATTACATCGGAAAGCTAGAGTCAAGAAATGAAAAGTTTATTACAAGGGTAACTTTATCTTTTATTCATTAATTATGTTTTTAAATTGTGAATACATATTGAATAATATATGACTTTTTTCACTTAGAATCGTGTATGCGGAACTAATGTTCTAAGTGGAAAACCTAGAACAAAGACTTTGCAGTTCATTTATCCTAAGGTTAGAAACTTATTTATATAAGTGAATACCATAATTATTGTTTGTATTTCAATTTTGAAAATAATATTATGTTTTTTTCATCATTTCGGTGTAATAAGCAAACTGACTCGTTTGAATGTGGTTATTATGTAATGTATTGGATGAGAGTCATAGTTTGTGTGGGTTTAATTGATTCTTGGACGGAGGTAATTACTTTTAACATTAGTTATGTTTATTTAACTTTATTCATGTTGCATGCTTACAAGAGTCAAATTCATGTTTCAGGTATTTCAAGATCCATCTTCATTACGAGAATCTGAGATTACAGAAATTAGAGAACAATGAGCAAAATTTTTTGTTCAACAATTCTAGTACATTATTTTTTAAGTTCTTGTTCATATTATATTATGTGTATTATGTAGTTTAGCTTAGTTTGTATAGGTAGCTTAGTTTGTATAGGTAGCTTAGTTTGTAATAGATTTTTTAGTTTGTATGTTTGTATTATATTGTTTTATTATGTAGTTTGAATTATATAATATTATATTTTTAATTTACTAGCTAAAGAAAAGCTGAACCTACTGAATCTGTCTGGATTACTTATTTGCGGGTTTTAGTTGTAAAACAGAATAAATAAACCCAATTTAAAAAAAATAGTAAATTTACGTCGCATATACCAATATGCGACGTAAATTTACGTCGCGTATACCATATACGACGTAAATTTTCTGCTTTTTTTAAATTGAAAAGGTTTTTACGTCTGTTTATTGTAAATCTACGTCGGATCTTGATAAGCGACGTAAATCTACGTCGGGTAAAAGGGTCCGACGTAAATTTACGTCTCCGCTTTAACGTCAGACTTAAATACTGACGTAAAAGCGCTAAATACCTGACGTAAGCGCTTTTTGCACTAGTGGTTACCTACTTCGTTTCTCGCATAATTTTTTGTCATTTTTTACAACTTTGTAAATTGGACTTTTAAAAAGTTTGTACTGAACCAAACTATTTTTAGCTACTTATTTATTTAATTATATTTTTTCGAAATTATTTAAATTCATATTAAGTATATATGAATGTTTATAAATGACTGGCGAAATTAAGGTTATGTTGCCTCGTGGGCCAAAAATGTGGACTACTCACTGGACTCAATGCGGAAGAGTCCATCCTTAATCAGGTTCTGGAGGTTCGTGCTTTTATAATAATTATGTGAGATATTTTTATATAGTCATAAATATAAATTAAAAGTATAAATATTAACTATTAAAATATATTTCAAGGATTATTATTAAAAAATAATTCCACGTGATTACGTGATCGTTTAAAAAGCCATGCGTATGTTTTTCAAGACAAAAAAAATACAGCTTTTGTTTTCAATCATTTATATATGGTTGATTTTATTATTTTTTTCTTCTTCAGATCAGTCCACTCATTCTTATTATGAAAATATTGATAAAAAAATAATTTTATTGGAGAAAATAAAATAATTATTAACAATAAAAATTATTTTCATTATATAAAAACGATGTAAATAATTTGTAAATCAATAAAAATTTGGTGTATATATGGCAATTTGGTTGCTTTTACCATAATATCTTTAAAGTCCCTAAAGTAAGAAAAATTAATTACGTCTATAGATTAAAATATATTATTTTCACAACAATTCGTGCAACATTATTTTTATTAATATTTTGTCTATTTCTCTCCATCATTACAACATGTAATAAATAACGAGTAAAAGAAAAATAACGTAAAAATAAATTATCATAGAAATGATTATATAGAATGTTATATCTATACACGTTAAAAAAAACGAAAACAGAAGGACTCGAAACAACATAAAATGATAATTATGATACTTAAAAAGAATTTCGACCGAATTAAAAAAATGAACTTCAAGACATACTTGAAATTTTAAAAGATTCAAAATTCAACCTTAATTTTTATCAACTGTCATATAACTTTCTTGAAATATAAAATTAATATTGTCATATTTATTAATAAAAAGTCTTGGGTTTTGACTGATACTAGATAAAAATGAAACTTATTATTATTTGTAAAACTAATACTGAAATACTAGAATTAGTGGTGGAGTCTCCAGGGTGAGGTGGGCGAGGGCGTGTCCCGTGGAAAGGGTATATATGGGATGGTGAAAAGAACAGAAGATGATGGTGATGAGAAGTGAGAAATGCAAACCAGAATTTCTTTGCGGTAATGTAACGGTCATTTGAACGGACGTAAAGGGACAGGCACGTGTGGCGGGGCAGTACACAAGTTTCCCAAACCACAACAACGGTCATATTTCACCCACGTTCAACAACGGTACTATTATTAAATCCCCTCACATCTGCACCCTTGAATCTGTATCGGAGGGTGCAGGAGGCCCCTCCTTGTCGTTACCTAATCTTTTTCTTTCATTCGCCTCTGCTAAATCAAATCAGTCGTAGGCCCAGCAAACACAGCTATCTATGACTGCGATGATGGAGACAGCGTTGGACTGCAACTACAACTCATATCAGACATGAAAGGAGGCCCTCTTCATGCTATTATTATTATTATATAAAAGTCTAACTCACTTACGGTTTGTGTTTTTTTGGTAAGTCATCAGTGCTCAGAGCATAAAGGGGTGGGTAGTTATTCTTCTTCTCCTTCGTGCATGCATGTCTGAAGTGTTTTCAGAAGTGGGGTTTCTGGTTTTTGCTCCCGCCGCTTCCGTTTCACCCATGACGCTCTTTTTCAAGCTTTCCACTGCTAATACGGGTTTCAATATTTCTCAGGACTTCTCCAGCAACAAATTTCAAGGAAAGGAGTATGTTTCTGTTTCCCCTCCCTTGTTCCTAAGCAACCAAATTACAACATACCATTTTCTGATGAACCTAGTTTGAGTCTTTCTGGAATCCGATGATCGTTTTCATGTGCTAGCTATAGCCTATAGGTATAGTGTTTTGTTTTCTTAATTAGTTTCTCCAATTCTTTTATTCTTTTTTGCACATAACAGCACCTTCCTATTCTTCCGCATTTACACATTACTCATTTCACCACTTAGGAACATTCCGAATTTGTAAACAAAAACCAGAGCTCGAATTTTTAAGGTTTTTTGCGAATATTCATCGGATTCCTTTTCGCTTTTTACTTCAGAAACCTTTGGTAAATTATAAACTCTCACACATACACACACTCACACACACGTAGATCATATCTGCATATTGTTTATTCTGAACATACATAAACGCGCACACATCCAAAGTTCTACACGAGTGTGCATACATTATACTCGATAATTTTAAGTGATTACTGGATAGAAAGGATTTAAAAAGAAATAGGGAAGGGAAGGGAAAAGAAGCAGATAGCAGATAGCATTGGTAGGGTGAATTAACCAGCTTAAGAAAAAGCATAGAGGATGTTGGCTGGGTGTTCTAGCGCTACATTGTTGTCACCAACGCATAGATCTGCACAGTTTCAAGCTTTCCATTTCCGATTACCTTCCATGAGCACCCACAGATTGGACCTGCCTTGTACCTTCCCAACGAACAGAGACACCTCGCGTTCCCAGCCCATAAGGCCCGTGGGCCTTTCATTCGACAACAAGCCCATCGAATCCTACTCTCTCAAGCACAACATTCGACTCCCACCTTTGGCGACTACCACAAGCAGCAGCGCGCACCAGACGACACCGTTCGTTGAAAGCAGAAGGGAAAGAGAGGCCAAGAACCATCATGAGCTCTGGGGCAAGAGTCTGAAGAAACGACTTGCGGAGCAAGCAAACGTGGACGTGGACCTGGAAGAGTGTTCGGCCAAGAGAAAAAAGTGTAGCAGCGATGACGTTAACTTTGTTGAAGGTTTGAGCCTAGCCCAAATGGGTGCTGCCAACTTTTGGTTACAACCTGGTGAAGAAGAGGAAAGAATTTGTTTTGTTCCTGGTGAAGTGGTTTCTGCTGTAACCAAGATCACAGACCCTGGTGAAAAGAATGAAGCTGAGGGTACTAGTCACAAAGCAGTCTCAGCCACAGCCTCAGTATCAGCTTCAGCTTCAAATTCTTCATCAGAAAGTCGAAGCTCGAGCCTGAGGTTTAACGATAATGTTTCGGAGCATGAAGTGGGAAACGGAAATGGGTCAAGGAATCCTCATCGATACCAAGAAACTGCAGTGGAGGAGGATACTGAAGAGGAGCATCGAGGATTTGAACTCGTAAGCTTAATCACCGCTTGTGTTGATGCTGTTGGATCGAAGAACGTGGGTGCGATTAATCATTTGGTAGCGAAATTGGGTGAGCTTGCGTGTCCCAGAGGAACCCCCATAAGACGCGTTTGCGCGTATTTCACGGAAGCCTTAGCGATGAGGGTGACGAGGGTTTGGCCTCAGGTGTTTCACATCAACATTCCTCGCGAAACGGAGGACGAAAGCGGCACTGCGCTGAGGCTTCTGAACGAGGTGAGCCCAATCCCCAAGTTCCTTCACTTCACATCAAACGAAATGCTGTTGCGGGCCTTCGAAGGGAAAGACAAGGTCCATATCATAGACTTCGACATAAAGCAGGGCCTTCAGTGGCCCAGTTTGTTCCAGAGTCTCGCGTCGAGGCCCAATCCCCCGAGGCACGTGAGAATCACGGGGATAGGGGAGTCGAAGCAGGAGCTGAACGAAACCGGCGAGCGCCTGGCTGGGTTCGCGGCGGCACTGAAGCTTCCCTTCGAGTTTCATCCTGTGGTGGACAGACTAGAGGACGTGCGACTCTGGATGCTCCACGTGAAAGAACACGAGAGCGTTGCTGTGAACTGCATTCTGCAGTTGCACAGGACGCTTCACGACGGAAGCGGAGGAGCGCTGAGGGATTTCCTGGGACTCGTCCGCAGCACCAATCCTACGGTAATGGTGATGGCGGAGCAAGAGGCGGAGCACGACGAGATAAGGTTGGAAGCAAGAGTGTGCAATTCGCTGAAATATTACTCGGCTCTGTTTGACTCCATTGAGCAGTGCGTTCCAGCGGAGAGTTCGGTGAGGTCGAAGATAGAGGAGATGTACGGTGGCGAGATAAGGAACATGGTTGGTTGCGAGGGAAGGGAGAGGGTGGAGAGGCATCGGAGTTTGGGGAACTGGAGGCAGATGATGGAGGAAGGAGGGTGGATGTGCGTTGGGGTTAGTGAGAGGGAAAGGGTTCAGAGCGAGTTGTTGTTGAAGATGTACTCTTCTTGCAACGGATTCAACGTGAAGAAGCAGGATGAATCAGCTCTCACTCTTGCTTGGGGGGACCACCCTCTCTACACGGTGTCCGCGTGGGCCCCGCTTCCTGCTGCAGTTTCTCACCCATGAACCAACCCCATGGTCTTCACTTGTTATTATGTTATGTTATTGTATACAACAAACACACGTACCAGAGAAGAGAGGTATTCTTTGTAGGTCATTATTATTCTTTCATTCTTTGCTGCAGATAAGATAGGCCAATTACATTTTATTCAATTGTACTCATTATTATTCTTTCATTCTTTTTTTGGTGTTTTTTATGTGAAATGATCCATTGCTGATTTATGTCATTCTATTCTATTTTACATTCTTTACCACATAAAATAGTTTTCACGATGATTTATATTACTTTAATTTAAGATCCGAGCCAAATTTTGTATTAATTAATGTTAAGAGTCATAGCAACCTAAGAATAAAAGTGCTTTATAAAAAGGAATTTTTAATGACTTGATCCATGCAAAATGGTACTGGGAATACACTCACCTCATCAAGTGACACTCAATGACAGTGTGTTTTGTTCTTTAATAAAATAATATGGATAGTTAATTTCTAAATACGGAAATTTGAAATTCCAAATCTTTTATTACAGAAACAAGTCAAGTGGCAAGTGTCAAGACATGCACTCTAATCAGAGTAATTGAAACAAACTATGATTAAATGTGAGTTTATTATAAAAAAAAACAATCCCTTAATCTTTAATATATTTTAGATTTTGAAAGGTGATTCGGAAGTGTAGTATGGTTGGACAGAATCTTAAGGTATATCCATCTACTAAATAGTCTTTTATGTGTTATCACGTAGTGATAAAATAATGTGGAACATAATTTAGAAGTAAGTAGATCAAAATTTTCAAGAAGATACATATTTCTTTTGATAAAGGTAAATCCCTTTAATAGATCTTGCAAGTTTGAAATCAAGGAAGAATTTAAATTTATAATTCTTAATCTCAATTATTTTTTTAAAAATATTGCCCGCTTGAATGTAATTAGAACATTTGTGAAACTATGATGAGATCTTTTAGTAAATAGGGAATACCCTACCTTGGAAAGTATATATTATGACCTAAAGAGAGTTTCAATCAACTTTTAAGTTTTTTTTTTTAATTAAGGAGTGAATTTGATAAAGTGGGAAAGAAAAAAATACAAAATTGAGATTGGTTAGAAAAAAAATTAAGAATGAATAAATAGAGAGATAATAAATAAAATATTTAAAAATATAATTTTTTTATTTTAATTTAAATATAAATTAGGACAAGAACAAAGATGAAAATAAGATCGAAATAAAGATTGTATTATATATTTCGTCGTTATCCTTGCCTCATTCTTATCTTTTTAAAATAAGAAAAATTTAAACCAAAATATATAGTATCAATTCAATTTTTTTTTTCATCAAACCTTCAGACAAGGAGAGTTGGATCTGTAGTTATAAGCGTAATTGTTATCCGTGGCTTTATTAATCTACACATCAATTTATTTTATTTTTTCTCAGGAAGGACTCCCTAATTCTAATATTGTCAAAGTACCCCCAAAAAAACCGCGGTATCCTGTTGGGCCTAAATTTGGGCTTCGTTTTCATTTTTCTGCTTTAAAAATAACTTTCCTTTTTGGACCAAAACAATCTATATCTCAATTTCTACCCTTTCAATATCATTTTCTTTCTTTCTAACAAACGAAAAAAATACATTGAATCGTGAAATAAATAAAAAACGTATATATAAATTAAAAAAAATACTAATAATAAATTAAATATGGTCTCTATCATTCTGGGTTTTTTTTTTCAATAAATATAGTAATATTAAATTGTTGATGAATGAAAAATTATGTTTAACATATAAATTAATTAATAACGTTAAATGTTTACCGCCATTTTAAAACCAAACTCTTATTTAATTACATGTTACCGCCATCGTGACATAAAGGTCTTAGTAGTTGGTAGAAATATTTTAGAATAATTAATGTTTATATAATTACCGACAGAAAAGTTGACACGATTGAATGATACTGAAGACACTTAAATATTGTTGATTAAGATTCGATGTTGGATAAGTACTCCAACGGGATAGAATTATTTTAAGTGTTAGTTTTCTGGTTCTTTGTTTAATAAGGATTATGTTAGATTTATCTTATCTGCTAGGTCTCTAGTTTCCCAAATCTTTTAGGATAAGTTTAATTAGATTTCTGGTTTCCAAGTTCTTCAAGATTATATGATGCTTCTGTTGCATAATTTTGTAATGGGTATTTAGATTTTGTTTTCCTATTTTTTTAAATTTGTTTCTCCATTTTTTAACTTATATGAAGTTGCATTAAATATCTCAAATAATTTTCACAATTTTATTAGTAATGGATGATTAAATTATTTATTTATTTTAATCTGTGGATATTAAAAAAATATAAAATAATATATTTTTCTCTTAAATAACACGTGGTAATAATTATCTTTATATATAAAATATCATATAATATTTGAACGACAATTTTTTAAAAATAACATTATAAATAATTATTTGTATACGTAACTTTTTTTTCATTTATCGATTAGCATTAATTATCTCATTCGAATATTATTGATTTTAGAATTCAACTTTATTTTTAAAATATACATAAATTATAAAATAAGAATATATATATATATATATATATATATATATATAATATTATTACGAGATTCATAAAATATCGAAACATTTTGTAAATATATATATATATATATATATATATATATATATATATATATTAATATTTGAAGAGAAAAATTGTATTTTAACCATCTCTTTTTTAAAATAATATTTTTAAAGATTTAATATTATGAAGTGAAAGATATTGTTGATTTTAAAAAATAATATATTTTTTTATAAAGCAATTTTATTATCTCAATCAGTAACCTATTACTTTTAAGTTTCTATGGTAAAAATGATGGTGGTGGTAAGATAATTATGACGAGTCAAACGTAATAATTTTATAATATTTAAATATTTAGTATATTTTTTGTAAGAAAAATTATTTATAATGGTGATGATATAATAAATTATTTATCATGTCAGATATAATCAGAGACTAAGTTATTTATTAAATGGATATAATAATTTATTTATTATATTAAATATTATGAGAATCGATATAATAAATGTGACAGCGGTATTTTTTTAATATTAGATTTAAAATATTTATTATTTTGGTTCTTAGAGTAAATAAATTACTATAATATTTATAATTTAGGTTATACTTTTAGATTTAATCGCTGTTAAACGTTATTTTATTCTCAAAATCTCTTAATCTCTTTTACGCTATATAGTTTTCTCTTTACTAATGTTAATGTTAACATCTATTTCCAAATTTTTTTCTCCTATTCTCTCTTTATGTTCTTACCATTATCGTGATCTCATAATCATAATAAATATTTATCTATCATGATTATACAATATATATATATATATATATATATATATATATATATATATATATATATATATATATATATATTATCATAATATTCACGTATCATTGTCAACCCATAAATTCCAAAAACTAAGTCAAGCATGCTTTTTGGTAAAATGTTAGATAAGGCTTTTCAAATTCTAAAACAATTTTGCTTTTTAATCTCCAATTTCGCGTTAATTATTATTATTATTATTATTATTAAATCATAGTCTCTCATTATTTTTATTTTTTTTACTTTAATCGTTTTTTAACTACTTTAAAATAGTTTTAATTAAGAAACATTTAAATTTATTTTCAAAGTTATCATGATTAGATTAGAGTGTAGCTCTCCCCTATCCCCGTCCTTGACTTTTTTTAATCATCTCCGTCCTATCCTCCGATCCCTCCGAGGTTAGAAATTAAGTCCTCATCTCCGTACTTGCTGGGTTTCGGTTTCACGTCCATCCTCGATTTATATTATTTTTAAAAAGATAATTATATTTATAATAAATTAATTATACTGTCTATTTTTTATATATAAATAAATATTTATAATTTATAATTATTATCAATTAAGTATACATTTTAATTTATTATATTTATATTAACATATATATATAAAATAAATATTTAATCATTTTTTATTTATAATATTATTATTATTATAACACTGTATTCAAATATTTGAATATTTATAACTCTATTATTATAATACTCGTATTCAAATATTTGATTATATATATATATATATATATATATATATATAAAAGTTAATTCATTTTTAAGTTGTCATTTAAAAATATGAAATATATAGTTTATAAGGAAATATTTAATAAGTTAATTTTTATTCAATTAGTTCAAGTAATAAAAATTTAAATTATCATTTTTTTAATCCTTTAACGTACAATTATTTTTATTAAGATAAAATTTGATATATGATAAATAAGAATAATAAGATAAAAAAAATATGATAAAACCTAATAAATATAAATTATAAATAAAGTAATATTAGTTACTATTAAAATTTATGTAAAATATTTAGAAAAAGATAAAGAATAAAAAAAATAATTTTGTATTCATCAAATTGGTTAAAAAGATTGAAAAAAAAATTGATGGGAGAGATTAAAAAAATGTGAAAAACCTAAAGGTAAGAGAAATAATAATGTAATAAATTATTTTATATAAAAGATTAAAAAAGACAAAAAAATTAAAAAGTGGGTAGAAGAAAAAAATTTGGTGAAATATAAAAAAATAACCCGATATGTAATAGAAAAAAAAGGAAATACTTTTAAAATATTAATATTTTAAAATTTAAATTTAAATATAAAGTCAGGGGCGGGGACGGAGACGGGGTGGGGGTAGCATTACTCATCCCCGCTCCGCGCCGACTTTTTAAAGTGGAAAAAATCCGAACTCACCCCGCTCGCCTCGCCCGCCCGATCAACTCGGGTTTTCCCTTCAAACTCAAGACGGGAACATGTTTAATTGTCATCCCTACCATTTTGACCACACCGTATGTCCAAGAAATTGATCAAAGAAGATAACTGGAGATCAAAAATTTGAGACTATTTTATTTCATCTGACCACAAGAAAAAAGTACATTTAATAGAAATTATACTAATAAATTCAGTCTCTTCTGATCAACGTATATAT